CCAGTTTTCCCTAATTGGATGACTGAATACTGCCTGTTGGATGGGAGCGATTGCGTGCACGATGTTCTTTTGTTCCGGATGAAGGTCTGTTGGACTGAAATATTGTGTTTTAATAAAATAATGGTAAGTGAGACAGTGTGCGCGAGGTTATTATTTAATTGTCTAATAAAGGAGCAAATGCCCAAAAGAAAACATCTTTAAAAAAGACCACTGGGTGGTCCGATCACCGCAATACTGAACTTTAACCTCCTAGGACCTGGCGTCCACATATGTGGACATCACATTTTGGGTTGTCTAGACCAAAATACAAAATTTTGCTCTACAAGGGTCTGATATCCACTTACGAGGACATTATATATATACTGTTCTATCGAAATTTAAAGCGAATGTCCTAATTTGTGGATCTGCTGTAATTCTTTGTTTTTACATTCATCAGGTCAGAATCAGCTCAACTAGCAAAGAGAAATTAAAAATGCATGCCATGAAAGAGTTCAGGTCTTAGGAGGTTAAAGATAAACTGTATGAACTTGAAGTTCCTCACACTGTCAGGTGTACTTTAAAATAAACTGCGTATAACTTTTGTGTTGTTTTACGCCTAAAACCCGAACTGAAAGCTGCTGCCTAGAACTTCTGTAGCTTTATGAAGGGCTTCATATCTATAACCATCAATAGGTAGACCAAGAAATTCAGAACAACAGAGAGGTGTGTGTCATATGAAACCATTAACTAAAACTCCTCAGGCACCTGTCTCTGTTTCTGACATCAAGTTTTAATCAGATTTTAGAGAGACGGAGAAATTTTTGTTTTGTTCTGAAGTGTGAGAAGCAAGTTTAGCTTTAATCCATCAGCGCTCAATTTCCTGTCGTCTCGCTCCGAGATTTGCCAGCGGAAGAACGTTGACGTGCAAAAGAAATCAACTTTGGATGGAAAATACCTTATTAGGTATTTACTGGTCCTTTGTGCTGGAAAACTGGCTGGTGGAGTGTTAGAAGTGAAAATGATAATTGTGCTAATTCCAGAGGAAGCATCAGTCTTTGGTACAGACAGAGGGCTCGTTGTATTTGACAGCGAAATTCCTCACATCATGCTCACAGGCACACACGCTCACTCGATTAGATCAGATTCATGTTACTGTTGGTGTGACAGGATACTAATGACTAATGCAATTTTAATGAATCAAACTGAGTGGAATCATTCATCTCCACATCTCCGGGGAGCATAAGACTACCGTGCAGAAATGTCTTTATCTCTGAACAACTAACCACATCTCACTA